TCGTTCAGTCTCGTTACCGGCAAGTCACTTTACTCGTACCGTAATGCATGATCCCGTGACCAAGCACTTGGTCACTATGAGCTCATTATGATGATGCATTACCGAGTGGGCCCAGAGATACCTCTCCGTAATACGGAGTGACAAATCCCAGTATCGATCCGTGTCAACCCAACAGACACTTTCGGAGATACCTGTAGTGCACCTTTATAGTCACCCAGTTACGTTGTGACGTTTGGTACACCCAAAGCACTCCTACGGTATCCGGGAGTTACACGATCTCATGGTCTAAGGAAGAGATACTTGACATTGGAAAAGCTCTAGCAAAACGAACTATACGATCTTGTGCTATGCTTAGGATTGGGTCTTGTCCATCACGTCATTCTCCTAATGACGTGATCCCGTTGTCAATGACATCTAATGTCCATAGTCAGGAAACCATGACTATCTGTTGACCAACGAGCTAGTCAACTAGAGGCTCACTAGGGACATGTTATGGTCTATGTATTTACACGTGTATTACGATTTCCGGATAATACAGTTATAGCATGAATAAAAGACAATTATCATGAACAAGGAAATATAATAATAACCCTTTTATTATTGCCTCTAGGGCATATTTCCAACAGTGGCGACCAGGCTAACTGCCAGGGTTTTAGAGTACCCCATTTCTTGCTATGCAACAAGCTTGGCTAGGACCCATCAGCTGGAGTTTGTTGATCGAGAGTGTGCAAGGCATTGGTGGTTGCTGCTATGTGGTGGATGAGTGAGTGGTGATGCATATGGAGTCCTTTAGAGCATCTACAGCCCCTTTGGGGAAATCCGACCCCTCACACGCCCGCGGACGTGCCCGGCGTCAGCGGGCATTGACCGGGCACGCCTCATATTTCGTCTTCCACGCTTGCGTCTCTCATATTCTAAACCTCAAAACCATGCAATCCATGCAACGCTACGGAAAACACATCATCATAGCGCAGTTCATCGGATTATCCGGACAAAAGGAACATGATTTATCGGAGTTCAACGGCGGATAGTGCAAATCCATACTACAAACATAGATAAAATATAAACAGAACGAGGAAGGGCGGAGGAAATCACCATTTCCTCGCCGACCCCTTCCCCTTCCAGCTGTCGGCACGGCTGTGCCCCTCCTTCGTGTAGGTGTCGGTGTGCGGAGGCGCGTCGTCGTCGGAGCTGGAGGTGGAGGCGTCCGTCATATCCGAGTCGGAGCTGCACCTCATGCCCGACAGCCTGCGGAGCACGTGATCCTACTCCTTGGCATAGCGGGCCACTTTCGCCTTCGCCGCCGCCTCCTTTGTTGCCTTGTGCTCAGACAACTCGATGGCGAGTCGGAGCGCCTTGGCATTCTTGCGGCGGAGGCGTCGTGCATCCGTCTACGCCCTCGTGAGCGAGTCGGCGCGTGGACATCGACTCGGACGCCACTGCCCTCTCCCTCGCCCGCTGCCGCTCGCGCTGGGCTGCTCGTGCCTCCGACTCGGGCGTTTGAGTGCGTGTCGGCCCTGCCGCGTGCACGAGGACCCAGCGCTGGCCGGGCACCACCTCTGGAGCAGAGGGTGCTGGTGGTGGGCGGCGTACCTGGAGGAGCGGAGCAGAGTGGACGGAGCTGCGCGTCGGGAGGGAATGGCCGACGACGTCGCCGGCGTTGCGTCGACGGGCGCCGGGCACTGACGAAGTGGATCCGCCGCTGCCGGATCCGCCTTAGTCGATGACCGAACGTCTCAATGCGATGCGGAGGGCGACCTCCTCCACATTGTCGGGGTCCGCTTCACGCAGCAGGCTAGACCAGTTGTCGTCGGAGTCGGAGTCCCCACCAGAGGCAGTGCTGCTTCGGTCGCCGGCCATCGTATGCGTTTGGAGGGGATTGAAAGTGGAGTGGACGGAAAGGGGAGTGAAATGGAGTTTGGATTGACTGCGGTCTAGGGTTTTCTGGATGGTGATATTTGTGGGGCAGCCGTGGGCCAGGCTGGGCCAAGTCGACGTGGTGGGCGCGCCCGGACCGCCCCATATTCGCCCCATATTTGGGCTGGATATGAGGGGTGCCGGCCAGTCCGGACCTTTGAGGACGATTTGAGAGGCCCGTCTGAATATAATTTTCGTGACCGGGCGCCGTCCCGGGGGTTTGAGAAGGTTTTGGAAGGTCCGATTGTAGATGCTCTTATACAGGGAATCGGTGCACGTAACGCATGCATGGAGCTAGCTATGCATGTCGTCACTGCATGCATGTGCAAATGGGCACACAAGGCAAGGCAGAGAGTTTATTAAGCATATATTACTTGCGTCGGTGTCGGGATCAGCTAGCTTGTGATGGAAATGGAGATGGGGGCAAGGTGAGAGTCAAAGGCCACTGTCGGCTGCTAAGGAAATGAGACCAACGAACAGAGACAAGGAGGAGGTGTATCTCAATGGAGTATTGCTCTTGGAAAAGGCGGGTTCATAATATTCGTGCACACCTCAACTCTTCAATCATATGAAGTTCAAGGGCATGCTGGCTGATGGTGAAATGCCAGGGTCTTCTCTTCATTCAACAGCAAAAGAGAGATGTAAAATTCACCCGCAAAAAAAAAAGGGAGAGAGAGATGTAAAATGAATAAGCTATAGCTACGTCCCGTGTCCCTCAAGTCTCGACTGAACTTTTTTAACTCTTCAAGTGAGCGAGTTTAATTAGATGCACGGAGCATGCGAATATTTCTGCAACGCATGCTAGGTTAATTAATTTTGCATTTTTTGCATTTCTCGGCGGTCCGTCCACCCGCCAGCCGTTTCGTCCATCGTTGGGTTTATCTGTAGTTCTGTACTCGCTGAAGGGACATCTTCATGCTAACGTTTAGCGCATAGCATGATCGATGGTCAGAAATGGGAAGCTTCTCGCCGCGGCGTACCTACGGTCTCTCTCAAAGTAGTTCTCTCGTTGCTTTGTTTCTCTTCTCAGTCGATGACTCGTTGCCAATAATATGTACTAGCACATTCGCGCAGAGAAGGGATTCTCATTGGCTACTGCCTGACCGATCATTGAGCAAATCAAGTTCAGATATACTCCCTCTGTAAACTAATATTAGAGCGTTTAGATCATTATTTTAGTATTCTAAACGCTCTTATATTAGTTTACGGAGGGAGTACTACTATATGGCGCCCTGTCTGTCTCCTCGCAGTTTAAATATTCGACTGGGCAAGAAGATATGGCGCCAGCGAGACAACGAAAACATGGTTGTCAGTGGCCTGTTACGAGTCAGACTTTCTGACCGTGATCCACCTAGCGCACCGGCCCACCACTCCCTATCTCCAGCACCCCCACTTAAAATTTGTATTACAACTTTGATATTACAATAATAATGTACCTTCATTTTTCCATCTTATTATGTAATTAATACTTTGAATTTTCTATTTTTGAAAACAGCAAAGGCACCATACAAAGTATGTACAAAAAATATTGATCTTGAAGGCTCGTAATATTTTTATTTGAACGTACAAAAATTACAAAGTTCATATCGGAATTAGGCGTTGTTCTGAATTGATTTGCTATTTTTAGGCATTCAAACTAATTTATACTCCCTCCGTAAACTAATATAAGAGTGTTTAGATCACTACTTTAGTGATCTAAATGCTCTTATATTAGTTTAGGAGGGAGTATGTATTTAATGTATATAATTAAAACCGGAACTACAAGTATATTTTAAAATGCCTACAATTTGAAAAAAAAAAGAAAATCATGTTCAATTTCTTAAGTATCTTGGGAGATACTATCTGAGAGATGTACGGAAAAAAAATTCAAACATCTAGTTGGCAAAATACAAACCTTGAGTGGCATTTATTTGTTTTTCAAATTAAGGAAAAAAGGTGAATGAAGTTTGAAAAATATGAAATTTTGTATGGTGGCCTGATTGAGAGAATGAAACTTCCTACCATCACCACGATCACTCAGCTGGATTGCCACCATAACCGGGTCCTTGATAATAGGCCAGCAAATCTGGTAAAAGCACGCGAAAAAGTCCTCTGGCCCAGCGACTTGTCTGGGAAAATGAGATTTTTTTATACGGAACAATGAATAGAAGATGTGGATGCATTTACTTACGTGCACAAATCTTGAACTGGTACATTTACAATGTATTCTTGTAACTTGATGCTTTTTTGAAGAAATGATATTCTACCATGCCAGGATCCACTGTCAGTGGTTGCTTGAGATTTGTGCTACTTTTTTTGGTTGTTGTTAAATTTATCTTCTTTCTTTTCTTTGCGGGATTTTTTATCTTGTTTCAAAGTGTCAAAGCAGGTGTTTCCTCTTGTTCAAATGACTATCATAATGGTTCATTGTGTATCATCGTTTGTCAGCAGATCCAGCCTGAAACAAGTGCATTTTCTTGTTGGTACATAATGAATATGATTAATTTTTTTTGTGAATGAATATGATTAATTGATGATACACCTTGAACCCAGAAAAAAACACCCGAAACATTATGAAACAAGATAAATTTTGACAACAACCAAAAAACTAGCACAAACTCAAAGCAACAACGCACGGTGGATCCATCCCGTGCACTATAGAAAAAAGAACTCATATTTTCTTGTTCATTTTGGAGATTGCTACAATGCATTGAACCGGTATATTTTGCATTCTTACAATGTATTCCCGTGACTTGAGAGCATGTTTTCTGAATGATTTTGAAGATTGCTCACCACGCGGTCACCATGCAAACTTGAGAGCATGTCTGACTTATAAAACCATAACCGGACAAATATACGAAAATGATAATTATATATTCCATTCAGTGAAAAGAACAAATACGACAATGAAAAGCAGTACACTTCGATTCCTCGTATTGGCTCTGAAGGCTAAACCGCGAGGCTAACTTATTCAATCTTATTACAACTGCATGCGAGCTTAGCTAGAAGCTTGAATACGTGTCTTCTGCTGAACAATTATTAAATCTCATTGGCATGCATATATCAAATTATATACTCATCATTTCAGGGCAAGCTCCCAGGGATTAAGACCCACCAGCGAACTTGGACTTGAGAAGTTCGACGACCCCGGCCTCCACCCTTAGTGCCTTGGTGAGCACCGGCGTGGGGATTGGCGGGTTGGAACCGAAGAGCATGAGCGGCACGAAAACGATGCCGGGGTTCTGGCTGTTGAAGGAAACAACCATGTAGGCCTCTGTCTTACCAACGTTGAACTGGAAGTGCATGAGCCCGCGTGGGATGAGGAACGTCTCTCCAGCACGCACCACCCTAGAGTAGAGCTTGTTTCCGGAGTCGAGGCTTCCGAGGATTCCAACGAGGAGCTCACCTTTCATCACCATGCCGATCTCGGTCCCGCGCGGGTGGACATGCGGCGGGTTGGTGCCTCCCGGCGCGAAGTCCACACGGTTCATGGACACACCCAGCGTGTTCGTACCGGGCCACTCGGCCACGTCGAGCTCCGTCACGGCCGAGCCATTCGGGGTGGACGTGTTGCCGGCCTTGGCCAGCTTGGTCGAGAAGAGGAAGTCGTCACCGGCCTCCGACATGGGCTTGCATGGATGCCCGTTCACAGAGACCGCCTTGCCGTCGAGGTCAGCAACGCAGAAGTCTTGGAGAGGGTCAGGGTCGGAGGCCAGGACGGCCGGAGCAAGCAGCAGCATGGCAAACAGGCTAGCCCCTAGGTTTTTGGAGTAACCCATGGCTTGCTATGTAGCAAGCTTAGCTAGCACTGATCAGCTAGAGTTTGTTGATCAAGAGTGCTTCACTGGTGGTTGCAGCAAAGCTGTGGTGGATGAGTTAGCGATGAGGCATATGGAGTCCTTTATATAGGGCTATGATCAGTGCATGCATGTATGCATGGTGCTGGCTATGCATGTCGTCACCGCATACCTATGCCGCATGTGTGAACACCGAAGCAGAGTTATTTGCTGAGGATAGAGTATATTATTAATATTATTGGCATCGAGATCTTACCTTCTGATGAAAATGAAGATGGCCCAAGGTCAGAAGTCAAGGCCATACCGGCTGCTAAGGAAAATGGGACCTGCGAACAGAGACAACGAGGAGGTGTATCTCAATGGAGTATTGCGCTTGGAAACAGATGTTCACAAGATTCGTGCACATCTCTACTCAACGATGACCTTGATTTCGTCTAGGATTCAGAAATTCAGGGGGAAAATGGCAATGTAGAAGGATCAGCACAATTATTAGTAACCACCAGTCCACAATTATTGGTTCATACAAGTACTTGCGCAAAAATAACATATTACTCCCTCTGTCCCGAAATATAACGTTTTTAACACTACACTAGTGTAAAAAACGTTCTTATATTATGGGACGGAGGGAGTAGTATTCATACAAAAATATTACATTGTTACTCACACCTATAATTCATACCCCCTACGTCTCAAAATATAAATAGTATTTTTTTTTCTAAAACCCTTTTTATGTTTGACTAATTTTATGGCAATAGATATAAATATTTGCAATACCAAAAAACAAAATATATTTGATGGTGGATTTAATGATACTCCCTCCGGTCCTTTTTACTCGGCATATTACATTTGTGTCAAGTCAAACTTTGCAAAGTTTGATCAAATTTATATTAAAAAATCGACATCTACAACAACAAATATATATACCATGAAACTATATTTCATGATAAATCTAACAATATTGATTTGACATTGTGAATGTTGATACTTTTTCTATAATTTTGGTCAAAGTAGAGATATTGTGACTTCGGACAAAACTTATATACAGACTAAAAAAGACCGGAGGGAGTACTAACTTCGTACTGTATTGTATATATTACTGTTTTCCAAATAATCTTGGTCAAAGATTAAGAAGATTGAAATTATAAAGCCTAATACACTTGTACTTTGAAAGCGGAGGGACTCACGCAAAAATATCAGTTCGGCCAATCATTGTGGAGATATTGTAAATGTTTGGTTAGTGTTTTATAGAGATTAAAACGTGTGCCTTGTAGTGTTTTATGGGCTCGTTCCAGTGCTTGTAGTTGTCACTAGGTGGTCTACAGACATGAATGTAATTTTTTACTTCTGTTGTTTGTTGTACTACCTTAATTAGCAGTTGATGAATAGATCAAAAAATTTCTCGCCAAAAAAAGGATGCCTTGGAGAGGTGGGCAATAAGTTTGAAAAATGGCAAGGCGGGAAGGATAAGTGAACGTGGTAAAGATGCGCAGGCACACACGCGCACACACTATCACCATATGCAAACACTCACAGGACATCTACTACCGCAAACTAGAATTGCGCAGCTTCAAGAATGGGGAAGTCACTAAATACTTGGCATCGACACGATCGCTGGTGGACTTGAAATACAACCACATGTTGGTTCCAGGGTGTAAGCAGAGATTGATATAGTTCGACAGAGCAGGGCGTGTGAGTCAGTTCTGCTTAAAGGGTGAGGTCGAATCAGGGCTAGCCATTGGTGTTTGAGACGAGCAATGTGTACCCTAAAATTTGTAAACAGAAAAATGTGTTCTAAATTCTAGGACTGCACTATAAATATGACGTCAGATTTTTGACCATAACAAATCGAACGTTTCTCATTGCAAATTATGTTCTTTGAGGATTACAAGTTTAGTTAGCGAGCATGCCAAATCTATCGGTTCATTATTTTATCAAAAAATTATCGGGCTTACAAACTATATTTTTCATCATCGCGTCAATATAAATTGGCATGAAAAACATCAGATTTGTCGTGCCTGAAAATCTGACATCAGAATTTTTGTGTTTCGGAAATTTCATCATCATGATGATGGTGACATGCGGCCATGCGGGTGCTCCACCTGGCGGAGGGGCTACCGAACCGGCCGGGTACACCGGAGACTGGAGACAGGGAGAGGCGGGCCGATGCGCTTGATGGATCATCAGTCAGAAAGAAAGTCTTGACTCTTCGACACAACAGGCTCGTTGATTGTCACTGACAAGCACGTTTTAGTTGTTTCGCTGGCGTCTCGCGAATTTTTAAACTGTGATCAATCGTTGGTTTGTTGAATGATCGATCAGGCGCGTACTTCACTTGTACTAGTAGCCAATGAGAACCCCTTCACTGCCCGAACGTGAAATATACTGTTGGCAACAAGTCATCCAGAAATGAATCAAGAAATTATTTGAGAGAGACCGGAGCCAGTTTCAGTTCAGGGTTGGTACAATCATGCTATACGCTCAACGTTAATTAGCACATGTCTCTCCCTCTCTTAAGTGAGTACAGAACTAGAGATTTTTCTTTCTTCAAGAACATGCAAGAGTGTTGCATGTCTTCTCTATTAAGATTTAAATCCTAGACTTGACGCAGGTGCTCGTATTTTTTGAATTTGTTTTATGTCTCCCGATGGCGGCGGCATATGTTAGTGGGAGGAGATGTTTGCATTGACTATGAAGATGTGAGTGACGACTTCGTCAATCTCAAGATGATATGATGGCTCGGTCTCTCAAATGTGCTAATAGAAATAGGGCATGCATGCGTTCATTCATAAAGATGAGTGTATGTACATACGTAAAAAAGTCTATGTATCTACTGTGTTAAAAAATAAACAAAGGTTGAAATAGCAACACACATTGCACTCGCTCGTCCAGGCCCAACGGTTGACAGCCACCAGCACATTCGGTCGATAATACAACTGCATGGAGCTTAACCAGAAGCTTGAATACATGTCTTCTGCAGAGAATCATTAAATTTCGCCAGCATGCATATATCGAATTATATATTGATCATTTCAGGGCTGGCTCCCAGGAATTAAGACCCACCAGCGAACTTGGATTTGAGAAGTTCCACGACCCCAGCCTCCACCCGGAGAGCCTTGGTGAGCACCGGTGTGGGGATGGGCGGGTTGGATCCGAAGAGCGTGAGCGGCACGAAGACGATTCCGGGGTTCTGGCTGTTGAAGGAGACGACCATGGAGGCATGTGTCTTACCGACGTTGAACTGGAAGTGCATGAGCCCGCGTGGGATGAGGAACGTCTCTCCAGCACGCACCACCCTGGAGTAGAGCTTGTTCCCAGAGTCGAGGCTGCCGAGGATACCAACGAGGAGCTCACCTTTCATCACGATGCCAATGTCGGTAGCGCGCGGGTGGATGTGCGGCGGGTTGGTGCCCCCTGGTGCGAAGTCCACGCGGTTCATGGACACGCCCAACGTGTTCGTACCGGGCCACTCGGCCACGTCGAGCTCCGTCACAGCAGAGCCATTCGGGGTGGACGTGTTGCCAGCCTTGGCCAGCTTGGACGAGAAGAGGAAGTCGTCACCGGCCTCCGACATAGGCTTGCATGGATGCCCGTTCACAGAGACCGCCTTGCCGTCGAGGTCAGCAACGCAGAAGTCCTGGAGAGGGTCAGGGTCGGAGGCCAGGACGGCCGGAGCAAGGAGCAGCATGGCAAACAGGCCAGCCCCTAGGTTTTTGGAGTAACCCATGGCTTGCTATGTAGCAAGCTTAGCTAGCACTGATCAGCTAGAGTTTGTTGATCAAGAGTGCTTCACTGGTGGTTGCAGCTAAGCTGTGGTGGATGAGTTAGCGATGAGGCATATGGAGTCCTTTATATAGGGCTATGATCAGTGCATGCATGTATGCATGGTGCTGGCTATGCATGTGTATGCATGGTGCTCGCTATGCATGTCTTCACCGCATGTGGGAACACTGGGAGCAGAGGATAGAGTATATTATTGATATTATTGGTGTCGAGATCTCACCTTCTGATGAAAATGGAGATGGCCCGAGGTCAGAAGTCAAGCCATACCGGCTGCTAAGGAAATGGGACCAGCCAACGGAGACAACAAGAAGGTGTATCTCAATGGAGTATTGCTCTTGGAAAACAGATGTCACAAGATTCGTGCACACCTCTACTCATCGATCAGCTTGATTTCATCTAGGCCTCAGAAATTCAGGCAGAAATGGCAAGGTAGAAGGATAAGCGCAACTATTAGTAACCACCAGTCCACCACACTATTAGTTCATACAAGTACTCACGCAAAAATATCATATTATTACTCATACAAAAATGTCACATCGGTACCCACAACTATCAATTCATACTCCCTCTGTTTCAAAATATTGAAGATACTTTTTTTTTGCGAAATATATTGAAGATACTTCAGTTTTAAGAACGATTAAGAAGTTTGACTTTTAGAAAAAACAATACACCTTATATTTTTTAGCTTTTCAAAAAAAGATTAATACACCTTTTAGCAAAAAAAACAAAATATTTTTTTTCAAAGATTAAGAAGTTTGAGTTTTCAAAAGCCCAATACGCTTGTACTTTGAAAACAGAGGGAGTCACGCAAAAATATCAGTTCGAGTAATCTTTGTGCAGATATTATAAATAGTCAACGAGGACTTCGCTATCGACGCGGTCACTGGTGGAATAGAAACACAACCGCATGTTGGTTCCAGGGTGTAAGAAGAGATTATTCGCAAAAAAAGAAGTAAGAAGAGATTGAGATAGCTCGACGGACCAGGGCTTGAGTCAGTTTTGTTTAAAGGATGAGAACTGAATTAGTGCTAGCCATTGGTGTTTGAAACAATAGCAATGTGTGGCCTAAAATTTGGTGTTCCAAATTTTAGCATGATCGGCGCATTTGCTAAACACCAAACGTAATGGCGTTTAGGTGTGTAAAAGCCATGGGCAATGGCAGCGTAAAGTTTAGTCTTTAGCGATTTTGCGAGTAAAATGCAGTGTAGCCTACATAGCGCATATATACTCCCTCTATCATGGTCTGTAAGGCTTCGTAGTATTTTAGGTCAAACTTTGGCTAATAAAATAAAGTATGAGTCAAATTAAAAAAACTTTCTTTTGAAGATCCAAATTAATTGACGCAGCCTCTATACAATGTTCATATGCTAGCTAGTGAAAGCATGAGCTAGTAAAATATGAGGGTGCCTTGCAACACTCGGTAAAAATGTTGTTCCTTTCGAGTTGACTCGAGATATGGCGAGAAGCGGGAAGGCCTCAATCGGTGATGCATGATTGATGGGTCGGTGACATGCGCTTGCCGAGACGCGGACTGGGGGAGGGGCCAGCCGGCCGGGTACTCCGGAGACCCGGAGAAAAAGGGAGATGCGGGCCGCCGGTGCATGCGCTGGATGGATGGATCACGGTCAGAAAGTCGGACCTGAACCACAACAGGCTCGTTGATTGTCACTGACAAGCATGTTTTCGTTGCTTCGCTGGCGTCTCGCGAATAATTAAACTGTGTGGTGACAGGCAGAAGCAGGGCGCGCCATATCGATCTGCCATTGATTTGCTCGCCAATGAGAATCCGTTCTCTGCTCGAACGTGCTATTATTGGCAAGTCGTCGATCGATCGATGCAACCAAGAGGAGAAACAAATCAAGAAACTATTTGAGACCGGAGCCGGCCAGGTTCAGGGTAGCTAGGTAGGTACGCCGCGGCGAGAAGCCTCCCGTTTCTGACCATCTCATCATGCTATACGCTGGTAAACGTTAGCAGAAGTCTCCTCAGCGTCGCACTCGCCCAAGCCCAACGATGACATGAACGTGCTGCAGTGCTCTCCTGTCTTTGCCAAGCTTGTTGAAGGTCATTCTCCTCCGATGAACTTCGAGATCAATGGGAGGCACTACAACAAGGGGTACTATCTAGCTGATGGCATGGCATCTATCCGAGATGATCGACATTTGTGAAGACCATCAAAAACCCTGTGCCAGGAGGCAAGAACGCCTGGTTTGCGAAGATTCAGGAGGCTTGCAGGAAGGATGTCGAGCGGGCATTTGGTGTGCTCTAATCTTGATTTGCTGTTGTCCGGTACCCCGCTCAGACCTGGTCGAAAGATCAAATGTGGGAGATCATGACCTGTTGTGTCATCTTGCACAACGTGATCATTGAGAGCGAGCAGGAAGAGCTAGTGTTTGACACTGAACCATACCACATGCAGGGTCCTCTTGCCCAAGTTGATCACCAGCTACCAGCAACCTGGACTGCCTACCTCAGTATGCGTCAGGAGATCCGAGACCCACAAGTGCATCATCAACTGCAGCAAGATCTGATAGAGCACCTATGAAGGCTCAAGGGCAACGCCGGGCGCGACGTGTGATGAAATATGAGTTTTTATTTGTTGAACTATATAATTTGTATTGAGCTATTTGTTATTGTACTATTTTGTTGAAGTATTTGATTTTTCTGTGATGAAATATGTGATAAAAAAATATTTATGTTGATAATTGAACGCCGAGCCACGGCGAACCACGCCAAATATGGGCCTATTCTCGTCCATATGGGCTCTATTCGCCGAAATGGGGCTAAAAAGTGAGCCAATATCGGCGCCCTGGGGGCGACGACTGGGCGCAAAACCGGCCCCAGCGCCGAATGTGTCGCCGGCTCGCCCCCAGGGGGTGATTTTTAGGCGTCCTGTGAAGGCCAACGGCTGAAGATGCTCTTAGCAAGGTGGATTGAGAGATGCTCTTAGCAAGAGAAACGATGGACAAAACGGTCACGGCTGGACAGACACGGACAGCAGAGAAATGCAAAAAAGGAAAAAAGGAAGCATAATTAACCTAGCAGAAATCCTCGAACCTTGTTTGCTGAGAAATAATGCCAAGGCCTTCAACATGGCAAATTATGATTTCCAATGCATCTAGTAATTAAAGTATTAAACTCATTAACTGTGTTTATTAGTTCAGTCCAGACTTGAGAGACGGCACTGGAGTAGCTAGCTTTTTCATTTTAACATGTCGTCATGCAGCCCCTGGACACTGACATTTCTCTCTTTTGCTGTGGAATGAAGACCCTGACCTTTCACCATCAGCACGCCCCTGCACGCGAATTGACGAGTAATCGTGTGCACACGGATATTACGAACCTGTTTCCAAGCGCAATGCTCCGTTCAGATACACCTCCTCCTTGTATCTGTTCGTTGGTCCCATTTCCATAGCAGCCGGCAGTGGCCTTGACTCTGGCCTTGCTGATGTAGGTAGCGGCGGGCGTAGCTAACAACAAGAATCGGTAGAAATGTTCTTCCTTCTGAGCTGAGTTGACACGGGAAGGCAAGAAGCGGAAGGCCATGCAGGTCCGCGCGTGGGACGCCAACCGGGGGTTACTCCGGAGACTCGAGACAGGGATGGATCGGGGTCAGAAAGTCTGACTCGCAACAGAGCCAACCGGGGGCTACTGCCAATCATGTTTTCGTTGTTTCGCTGGCGCCATATCTTCTTGGCCAATCGAATATTTAAACAGCAAGGAGACAGGCAGGGCCCAATCGATCAGTAGTAGCCAATGGGAATCCCTTCTCTGTGCCAACGTGCTATTATTGGCAACAAGTCATCGATGAGAAGAGAAACGAAACAAGAAGAGAACTATTGGAGAGAGACCGTAGCCAGGTCCAGCCGTTCAGGGTAGGTACGCCGCGGCCAGAAGCTTCCCATTTCTGACGATCGATCATGCTATGCGCTAGCAAACGTTAGCACATGTCTCTTCAGCGATTACACAACTACAGATAAACCGGCGGACCACCCAACGGCTGCGTTGCGGATCGAGAATAGCTTGCACGTTGCTCCGGTTAGACCAATTAGCAAGTTCGGCTGAAATGGCAACACACGTCGCTGTTGAATGAAGACCCTGGCATTTCACCACCAGCACGCCCCTGAATCTCATATGATTGACGAGTATAGTAGAGGTGTGCACGGATATTGTGAATCCGTTTCCAAGCGCAATACTCCACTGAGAAACACCTCTTTCTTGATTCTGTTCGTTGGTCCCATTTCCTTAGCAGCCGGCAGTGGCCTTGACTCTGACCTTGAGCCATCTCCATTTTCATCACAACCTGATCCCGACGCAAGTAATATATGCTTAATAAGCTCTGCCTCGTGTCTCTATTATTTGCAAATGCATGCAGTGACGACATCCACATGCATAGCTAGCTCCATGTATCCACTGCTCCCCTATATAAAGGACTTCATATGCCTTACCACCACTCATCCACCACCGCTTAGCAGCAGCAACAACCAGTGCCTTAGACACTCTCCATCAACAAACTCTAGCTGATCAGTCCTAGCTAATTAAGCTTGTTGCCTAGCAAGCATGGGGTACTCCAAAACTCTAGCGGCTGGCCTGTTCGCCATGCTTTTCCTAGCTCCAGCTGTCCTGGCTACCGACCCCGACCCTCTCCAGGACTTTTGCGTAGCCGACCTTGATGGCAAGGCGGTCTCGGTGAACGGGCACCCATGCAAGCCCATGTCTGAGGATGGCGACGACTTCCTCTTCTCATCCAAGCTGGCCAAGGCTGGCAACACGTCGACCCCAAACGGCTCGACCGTGACGGAGCTCGACGTGGCCGAGTGGCCCGGAACGAACACGTTGGGCGTGTCTATGAACCGCGTGGACTTCGCACTGGGGGGGCACCAACCCGCCGCACATCCATCCCCGTGCCACCGAGATCGGCATCGTGATGAAAGGTGAGCTCCT